GGTTTGAATCTTGCTTATGATAGGGCTGATTTCTTTTGGCAGAACTGTCTGAACTAGTTAACAAAGAAAAGGTTTTGATTGTTTTCTCATTTATATGTTTTGAAGAACTGTTATAATTAATATCAGAGACATGAATACTTAACTCATTTTAACAGATGAAATATAATTTTCTTGAAAACCGTACTACTACATATATTATGGTTTTGAACATCTCACATGAATTGTTGCTCATGTCAAAAACTGCTCACTGGTGTCACTAACATTTACAGTTCCATGGCAAAAATATATGTGCCACTCTCTATATTACATGTAACTTTATAGGTAAATCAGACTTCCAGAAAACTCTTAAGCATCTCCTGAGTAAAAGTCATGCCATGAGCATGAAAGTGGCAAATGTTTGTTTTCTGTTGCAGAGGGCTTTGTAGAATAGAAGAACTCAGCTCTCACTGACCATCACAAGAGGTGAGGGCCTCATGCAACTTAGCAGATTTAAATAGCCAAAATATGAGTATTTAATGTACTCATCATACTCAAAATGAAACTACACAAGTAATGAAAAATAAGTAGTGCTCCTTCTGGAAAGAGCAGTGTTTCAAAAGTGAAGAGATTACGCCTGCAGAAGAGGAGGAGAAGTCACTTTTTAGTGGTAAAGAGGCATTTTGCCTTAATTTGAAAGGATCTGCCTAATGAGCCATGCTTAGTTCCCATGGACAAATTTATTACTCTCACTTAACATGGATATCATTATTAATTAGGCAAGCAGGAGTCATACTGTCCTGTCAGCAGAGATGCTGGATTACCCTGAAGCTGGGTGTGAGCCAATGTCTTTCGTCACAGCCATCCTTCTGCAGGACTACATTCCCTCTAGTGAGCATTAGCATACTGCTAGAAGTTTTGTGTGTGCTTCTCTTCAGAGAGTTTTATTAATTCACAACAAGAACATCAGGGGCAAACGGTACAACTAATCATTATCAGTATGAGAGTTCTTAAAAACTCAACATGAAATTGGCTCATGTCCATCATTGACTATTAAATTAATATAATAACACAGGGTCATTGCAGATTCTTAAATGGGTAGAATGACATTTATATTTTAGTTGAAGTAATGGTTTGGTAAAAGTTAATTAATGAAGATTCCTGCTTCATCCAGACCTGGTTTTAAGACTCCTGACAGTTTTTTGGTGGTTTTTTTTTTTTGTTGTTTGTTTTTTTGGGTTTTTTTTTCTTAAATTTGCAGACTTCTGGATGATTCCCAACTGGATTCTTTAAAACAAACAAACAACAACAACAACAAAAGCTTTTAATTCCTGTCTTTATAAGGACATTTGAATAGCTATCTTTTAGCTTTGCCTACATATTGTTTGTCCAGTTATCTACTGCACAAATTATTACAATCTATAAACCTAGAATACAGATTTTTAATGCTTGAGAAGAAATGTAAAACTAAAGAAAGATCTTGCAGAAAAAGTTGCAGAAGCAGTACTAAGGGGGAACCTTACTCATAACTTTTTTTGGAGGATGGAATACTGCTAATAAGGAAAGGAACACTTCATATGTATGTTAGCAATTTTGGAAAAAGTAAAATACATACTTTAAATGTATTTGACTTAAACTTCTCTTATCATGGACCTAATCATAGATTGTGATATCAAAATAATGATCGTGATATCAAAATCACAAGTATATACATTAGAGCTAATCACAATTTGAAATTATTATTTGGTTTAATTATTATTTCTGGGGAATGTTGGATTTTCTTTTCATTCTGAATAGGAACTTCACAGAATGGAAATTCCTATAATAAATGAGTCCATTATGGGTGTTGTTTGTCACAGTATAATGTAGTAGATTAAATATTCTAAACTTTTTATATGCAAAACACTGAGGGGAAATACCATCTAGTACTGATTAGATCTTTCCTAAATCAAAGCATGCTCTTATTTTCACATGTAAGTAGCAAAACCTTGGATAAATATTGTAGATCCCATTTAGCTCTTTTTTCCTCATATAGGTTTGATGTAATGCTTAGTAAAATCTAGTACAATTCTTACTAGCAATGTTGACAATAAATTACCTAGGTTTTTATTTAAATAATTTCAAAGCCTACAGATATTTTTGCATTTTCCAAGCACTTTTTAACAAAGCTCAGTCTCAATGAAACCTTTAACAGTTTTTCACAGTCTGTGCAATAACTCTTCTCTTTTTCTTAGCATATTCTTGTCAATGGGAGACAAAAAAAGCCTGTAAGATTGGAAGAGTCTTAAGAGTATAACTTAAAAGCATCAAACCTAAATAAAGATATGCATTCTGGAACTCAGCCATGTACTAAGCTCTGTCCCATTTGGAAATAAGGGCTATTACTTCAGTTATTTTAAAGCAAATGATTCATGTGATCCCACATAGTCATGTTTCAGAAAAGCTTTAAGAGTCTGCATTACTAGTAATTACTTATTTTGTACTAATTGTTGACAAGAATAGGTAAAGATGAGTTCAAAATATTTTTAGTGTCTTCTGTGGTTGTAGCTATGAAGAACTAAAACTTTCCCCAGGAAATACATGTACCTTACACATGAGTCTTGCCACACTCCATGCTGAGTAGGTCCTTCAGGCTGTGGGCTAACAGGCCCATTCAATCAGCTTTAGCTCTGGAAGCACAGGGAGTTCAAGATCCCATTTAAAATTTGTTAGACAAGAAGTACCACTTCTAAAAGAAGTAGCTTTTCTGCCCTGGAGGAGTGAGAGTTTTCCAGTGCTTTTGCTCATCCAGAATTGAAATTGTTCAGCCTGGAAGAGAGAAGGCTTAGGGGTGAACTTATTGAGGCCTTTCAGTATCTAAGAGGATGCTATAAGAAAGATGAAGAGGGACTTTTTCAAGAGCATGTAGTGACAAAACAAGGCAGAATGGCTTCAAACTGACAGAGAGCAGGTTTAGATTAGATGTTAGTAAGAAATTCTTTAATGTGGGGGTCGTGAGGTGCTAGAACAAGTTGCCCAGAGAAGTTATGGATGTCCTATCCCTGGAAGCGTTCAAGGCCAGACTGGATGAGCTCTGAGTGACCTGGTCAAGTGAAAGGCTTCACTGCCCATGGCCACAGGGGGTTGGAGCTGGATGATCTTTAAGGTGCCTTCCAACCCAAGCCACTCTATGATGCTGTGTTTTGTTGCTACACATATCCATAAGGTAAAACATTTGTCACAGTGCTGCTACTCCGTGTGCTTTGAGGCTTTGTGTGCAATGGAGCATAGGTGTCATTAGCAACAACCTGGATATGATAACCTCTATTTTGAATGCTGTTTAGGACATACTGTGTACAGAATCGACACTTCAGTTTTAGTAGAAAGGCCTGAATGAAAAGGAAAAAAATAATGTGGGGAGGGGGATGTTAAAAAAAAAAAAAAGACAAAAGGTGTTTCTGGTAGGACATAGACTATTATTTAGCTACACCTAACTGGTTCAACTATGCATCCTTGTGAAAATTTGGAACGAGATTTTTTTTTTTTTTTGAAATGCTAAATGCTGTCTTAAGACCAAACATGTTCATGCTAATTTTTTCATACATGATGAAACACTGTACAGCTACTAAGCTTAGCACTTGATGGAAGTAAGAAAGAAGATTTTTTCACAGTGACTGGTCATTTTAAAATCATAGCAACTTATTTTTTCATGGTGATGGAAACCAATTCTTCTAGAAATTGTAAATCACACTTCATCCAGAAGCATTCAGGAATGCATTGGCTTTCTTGAACAGGTTGGTCACATTTCTACTGAATGAATGGAAAGGAGAAAGTAGTGCTTGCTCTCCCCTTGCCTACTTGTATACCTGAGAGTGACAGTTTCATACAGGTTCCTATTTTATATATTTTGTTCTCAATCAGCTTTAGCTCCCTGGTTCTCTGCCCCAGGGAGAGCTGACTTGAACAATGTAAGCTGCTCTTCCAGCTTGTATCAGCTGGTTGTGCTCCCCTTGGTCTATTCAAGTTGTGTATAACCAGAAGGCAATACAGTCCCCTGAGTCTCCTTTGCTGAACTTACCTCTGCCCTTTGCTATAGGGTAGCTTTGTGAAAATTGCATGCAGGCTACTTATACCCAAATCTCCAGATGTATTGGCAAGGACAGATGGTGAGCTTGTGACTTGTAGCAACTTCTTTGATTAACAGGGATTAAATTAATTAAACCTGTTTCTGCAAACCTATTTTTCACAAGAACAAATTACATGCCAGAATAAAGCATCCTTTATAAATAAATTTTAAAAATTATTTGAAAACATTTTAATTAATGGATTTCATTATTAACTTGCTTATTCTTTGGTTTAGTACCAATTACAAATACTAGCAATCACTAAATATTAAATATTTATAACCTTATGTCCATTATGTGATGTTATGTCTAAAGTAAAGCCAGAAATAATTTTCTCCTCCAGGGCCAAAGCCAGCAATCTAACCATGGGCAGCCACTATAGTCTCTACCAGCAGTATCCATTTAAAGACTAATTGTATTTTGGATTTTGTCAGCCTTCAGAAATATGAACTTTTTTTTTTTTTCCTAGCCTCTGTAAAGAAAACAGAACATATGGACTTTTCATACTTCTTAAAATAAATATATTCCTTTGTCCAACCTTAGGGTTGGGTGTAGAAGTCAAATAGGTCAGAGAAGCTGATATTTGTGTTCCTCATGTGAATAGAAAGTGGAAAACTTTCACAGAATGTATCTAATCTAAAAGTGTATAGCTGATAACATTTTTGAGAAGTGATTTGTTAAAATATTTAAAGTTACTGCCTGAGACATACTGTTCTGTACCATTCTGAATATAGGCATCCTTTTTACAATTCATTGAAGTGATAATGTTTAGAACAAACCCCTGATTTTTAGTGCCTCAGCAACTGGTTATTCGTGTCATTTAAAATGCCATTTAAAAATGCTGGGTTTGACTCATAAATGTTTGCAATTAAAAATATTAATTGATGTATGCCAGATTATATAACTTCAGGTTTTCATCAGGACAGTGATCTACTGGACCGTCGGAAACATTGCTTCAGTGTCCAGTCTGAATCTGGAGAAGATCTTTACTTTTCTGTGGAACTAGAATGTGACCTAACACTATGGGAAAAAGCCTTCCAAACAGCAACTTTTTTAGAAGTTGAACGGATACAGGTAAGAGCAACTGTCTTGTTGATCATCTTTTGATACATTAACAAATTAGGCCCATATGAACTATGTAATTTAAGAAATTTTATGACCTTCTGCAGCTCTCAAACTATTACTCTTTTATGTAAGTAATTTCTTTTGCTGTTCCAAAACAGCTTGCAATCTAGCCTTCAGAAGAGGTCACCTGAAATACAGTGCTTGAGTTATTATGACAATGTGATACATATTTATTAACTGAAATTCATGGGCAGATGTGGAAAAACAATCTATGGATCAGGGACAAAATGCAGCTTTTTAGACATTCTTACTGGCTTACATGCTGCCTTATTTGTTATTGAATATCACAAGAGAACCTTGCAGGAATTACAATACAAGTCCTTGTATACCAGGAATGAGAGTATAGTGAATGAGTGAAGTACTTACTGGGTACAAGCAAGGGCAAAACTTGTACCTCAAGTTATTCTTTCTTCACTTATTTCCTGTTCCTTGTGTATTTACTCTATTGTCAGGTAACAGCGCAGAGATGGACAATATTCAAATGTGGATTGCTAGTGACTTTTTATAGCAAAATTACATATCAGAATGCTTAAAGATAACTTTTTCTCACATGACTAAATAGCCATGACTTTTTGACTTAAAAAAGGAGAAAAAAGCCACCCACCACAATTGTAATTCACATAATCCCAACTGTAATATCAATTTTCTAATCATGAAATATACATGTGGTTAGAACAGCTTTAGTTGATGTTGGCAGGAGTTATACACACCTACCCAAGCCATATTAGCATATTTGCCTGTGCAAGCATTGGCTCACATATTTTCTGTGTCCTCCTGGGAATGCAGGCAGTGGCATGTTTTTATTCAGACAAGCAGTTAGTTAGTTATATATTAGCCCTTTTTTGACCTGCAAACCAGCACATGCAAATGGACTGAATTGGTATACACTAATGAAGATCCAATATGCAAAAACTACCCTGCTGTCAGTTTTAACACACAGTACCTTTGTTGCTGAAGAAGAGTCAGGGGAGGTTCAGCTTTCCACTTTTAAATTCATGTATGCTGTTACATTTTGTAGAAACTATTCTTATCTTTTAAGCTGTACTTGCATGCTGGAAAATCTAAGACTAGGTTTTCTATGTAAAACTTGCAATAATATATGTCCTCTGCCACTAAATATTTGAGAGTTTTTGTATTTCTTATATAATTCACTGCAACACGCTTTAGTAGCACTGCTGTGCTATCAGTAAAAGAATATGTGACATTTTTCTTGCATAACTTTCATCTCAGAAGCGACCCTCTATTTATTCTACTTTCAGATTGATTAATACTGTAACATCCTGGTTTAGATTTTTCTTTTGAATTTTAGAATTACATTTATTCAAAATTGTCTTCAGGCTTCTCCAAAATAATTTCCTTTATAATCTTAACCTCCGATTAATCCTAATCTTTTCACCTTTTTTTTTTTTTTATTTTCTCTCCTAATGTTCAATGTAGCAATTAAGAATTCAAAGTAATGATTTCCTGATTGATTGGTTGATTGATTGATTGATTATAGCAGACCTGTGAAAGTGGACAAACTGGCTTCTCATGATAGAATATTATTGTGGAACTCACACTTCTTATTCCACCTTTTTTTCTTTATTTTCTATATCTTGATTTGGAAAAAATATAGACTATTTTAATATAACTGGGTTTGGCCTCCTCATTTTTCTTTCAGCAATCCATTACTGCTTTCATCTACCAACATGCAGATGCAGATAAAATCTGGCAGTATAATTTGTTTCCAACCAGTTCTTTCATTGCTCTGCGAGAAAAAAAAAAGTGACAGGTTCAAAATTAAGGTATCAACTGTACACTTTTACTAAAATTTTGGTTTATGTTGATATGAGTACTCATATATAAAGGAAATGGTGACCCAGTAGGTTTGTCTTACAATAAAATAATATAATTTTGAAAATGTAACTTCAGTTTAAAGCTACCATTGAAAATTATTCAACAGGGTTGTGTGCTATTCCATAATCATGCAAATATTAGCTCTTACTCAATGGCTATCAACCTCTATAAGAGGTTAATCAGGAGCCAATCCTAATGTAACTCCAAAAATATGTAACAAATTCAAATATTTTTAAATGCATTACTATAAATACATAATGAATTCTATTTCAACCTAATTCATATCTTCTGCTAGAAGTATATCTAAACCAAAAATTAAACATTTGGTTTTTCTTAGAAAATAAATATATTTGAGGAGGCATAGTCAAATAGATAATAATTTAGCAATAACATGGTGCAATGATACAGTGGTGTCATTTTGGTGTGTTACAATCACTTTTTAATTACTTTTGTAATGTAGTAAGTGATGACAATCCATTTTCATAATTACCTATTAAAAAAATTACTTGAAATGAAAATCCTTTTTCCTTACTCTCTCACAGCATTGTTGCACAAAGAATCTGACACTACTATAACTTTCACAATGATGTGCAAATATACATGCCTGTCACATTCCCTTTGTGTTCCTGCCTACTTTAAGCTAATATTTTCACCTCTTGCATCATGAATATTTTTGTTGCTGTCCTTGATTGTATTGTAGTTGTTTGTTTTCTAATGTAAGATTTATTATGTAAGCTGTTTTATGTTGGAGTATTTTAACTTATTTTTTCATTGAAGTTGAATCTGAGTTTAGAAGTCTGAATTAAATCTTAGATTTATAGTTCACTTTTAGCTTTCTGTTTCAGCTTCAGAAATAGCATACATGAAGTTCACAATATATTGTTCTTTCCATAATTTAAACTGTGCTTGTTGAGGGAATAGTTTCTAAGGAAGAATTTCGAGTTGTCTCCTTCAGCCTCTGCCTGACCCATTGAATTATTAATAAACTAAAGTTAACATTCTGTATTCTGTGGAAGAACAGTAAATGACTGCTGAAGTGTGTTCTTTTGGGAAAGGAATTTCTCAGTTCTGATGAGGTTTTCATGAGTTCTTGTGAGAAATCAGCAACCAAAGCCAAATATCCACAATATATATTATTCATAGTCACTTCTAAAGTTGTAAAATGTTAAATGGATAAAAAATTTTAAAATATTTTGTACTTTGATAACAATTTTTGTCTTTCTGTTTTTTCCAAATCTGAATTAAAAGGCAACTTAAAGAAAATAAAGATGAGAAAAGTCATACAAGAGTTAACTAGTGTCTGAAAGTTCATATCCTTACTCTGACCTGTCACCAGAATCATGTGCAAGTGGATACAACACCTGCAAAAACCAAGGGATAGTCTTTCCCAAGGAAACTAAATACTCACTGTCCAGAGATCTTTTTGTTATTTTTACTTTTTTTCTTCTTTTAATTGTTTTGGACATCATAGTCTGAGGGCATAGAATAGTCTTTTATATAAGTAAAGAATAACTAAATCAGCTGCTACTAGTGATCTGCAGTTTCTTCCTGCAAAGAACTACACTGAGCTGAACTAGATGATATTTCTCCACAAACTGTGCACTGCCTTTTGTAGAAATACCCTTCAGTCTTGGAAGTAGGCTGCTTTTTCAGTACAGCCTTGAACCAAGGCTGGTATGTCCTGTTTCTCATAAATCTTAAGTTCCCAGTGAGGCTAATTAGCCAGTCCAGGCTCTTGTTTTAAAAGCAGAGGGAACTATACCAGCTCAGCTTGGTGCTGCAGTGCACACTGTAGGCTGGCCTCTGGTGTTGGGGTGGGAGGTTAGAAAACTTTAGATGACAATATGTATTTTAAACCTGATACACATTTTCCTTGCCAAATTGAATTTCCAGTAAAGGCTCTAAGTCTGCTGCAGATAATGAATGCTTACAAACAAAAATGTAATTTGCATCTTGTAAGATGTTTGCAAGATAATTCCGTAAAACCATACATTTTGTGCTTTGCGTGCAAAACTTGAAAATTTTTGCATATGTGACTTAATTAATTGTAAGTAACTGAAATATATTACTTTACACTTTTTTCTTCTACTAATGAGATAGTACCAAAGGCAATATTCTCTTCTTTTTCAGTACTGATTTAGAATCAAATTTTACACATTCATAACAGTCTCATGGTATAGCTGATCAAAGGGAAAAAAAAGAAAAAGCCACTTTTATTTGTAATATAAACATTAAGTATGAAGTTTTCAATTTTCCTTTATTGTATTTTCTATTTAGAAGCTGTTAATGCACCTTCCAGATTCTTGTGTTCTAAGGAAGGCCATTAAGAATCCAGACAGCCCCCCCAAAGAATATATAAGTAAAGGCATCTGATTTATCTTTATAATGAAAATGCCAAAAATAATCATAGGTTCTTTTGTAGTACTTAGAATTTGTAACCCACATTGTTCCCACATTTGCAATTTATATTTTGATTTTGCTGACACATTATAGGTCATGGAAGTCTTTGTTCTCATTTCATAATTTTAGCAGCTACAGCAATATTTGACGAGTATATCTGTATTTCATTTAATCTGGAGGGCAAAATGTCTATAAAATTAGAATCAATTCTTTAAAGAACTTGCATCTGATTTGGAACTGTTTTGATTTTTTAATGTATTTTGTGATGAAAAAGACAAGCCTATAATTTTGTACCTGAAGTCAGCCTTCAAGCACAGCAGTAGTTTTAATGCTAAAAATTACACTTATAAATGTCTCACAATGTGTATTCAAGTGTGATGTTATGGAAATAAATAGAAGCATATATTTAAAAACAGTAGAATGATAGAGTCTTTCAGAATTCAAGGTTTCTCATAGAAACCTTTAAGATATATTAGTCCACTATCTGAAGAAAAAAAAAAAATTCAAATAATTCCATTAGTTGCTAAATGGCATGAAATACTATTTTTTTTTCCTGAGATTTAGGAGAACAGAAAACCACAAGAAACAGTGTACTATAGAGATATTTTATATTTGCTTTTTTTTTCCTTGAAAAGATAAAAGGAATATATTAATTTTAAAAGTTGTTGGGATGAAAAAACAAATAAGGAGGTTTGAAAATAATATTTTTTTTATTTTAGAGAATGTTATTAGAAAGCCACTGAGGCAATTCTAAGCCTTTCATTTTTTTTCCTAATGGAAGCAAAGTTTGTTTTCATATGTCTTAGACAACTTCATTACTGATAAAAATCCTTTTATTTGAAATACAAAAAATTGACATATTTACACACAAATGATTTATTTCTGATAATGATTTTGAGGTATATAAACATTAGAATAAAGACTCAGACACAGTGGTCCTAGAAAAACATTTAAGAAATGTCTTCTGTGGTAACTACTCCCTCTGGTTTTTCTTTTACAGTGCAAGACATATGCCTGTGTTTTAGAGAGTCATCTTATGGGACTTACCATCGACTTCAGCATGGGCTTTGTCTGTTTTGATGCTGCCACAAAGGTAAAGTTCTAAGAAATTTTTCCATCACACTGTTATTATTCCTTATATTTCTAATATTTTGAGATAAATAGTACATCCCTAAAATGTCCTTCTCTTTGTTATAAAAACAGATTATCTCTTGTCAAATCTCTCCTGCTTTAGTTTCAATTCAGGACTGATTTCTAATTATGTAAGAAATAATATTCTGCTATTTGCTTGTTATAGAAAAATCAATACTGATACCAATCTGAAACAAGCATCAGATCTTTATTCTTTAATTTCATATGAAAGCCCACACTGATTCAGCTTGATGGTTTGTTTTGCTAGTGTGTCCTTGATTTTGAGAAAAGATAATTTTCTTGGTTTAAGTCTCATCTGTGAACTTAAAAGTAATCTTCCATTTTCTTCTCTTGTTTCATGGGAGGGAATGTGTGCTATTACAGCAATTCCACAATTCCCAGTTTATATTTTAGCTATTATTGTTCAGGCATTTGTAGAAAGAAAAATCAACCATAGTCTATCTACATGTCTCACCCATCAGCTTTTCCTGTCAGCTTAAAAAAAACTCAGTAGAACTGATGAGTTTGCTTTATCAAGCAAATAGTGTGGAATCAATTTCCATATTGTATTATCACATGTCCCAGTCTCAGTAAAATCCTTGAGACCCCGAGTATGTCATATGTTTACATTTGCACTAATTGCTGGTGAATCCTAAAATGTGCACAGGCTTTACTGCTACTACTTGACCATGCTGTTAATGGTAAAATCCTTCTTCTGAGTGAAAAGGTGAAATCTTTCTTCTCAGTTCTCCTTCTCTTCAATACCTATTTTTCTTTGAGATGCTTCAACATTGCCATCACCAATTGCTGAAAATGCCCTTTTGTCTCCAGAATTTGTTCCTATGCTCTATCTTAAATCAATCCCTCCCACCTCATTACTCCACTAACCCAAACCCTTTTATTCTTCCCACTCCATTCTGTTTGTTTGCACAAAGTGATGAATTTTAAATTCAAACACTTATGTAACCTTGTTTCTTTTTGTTACACAAATAGTCTTGTAAAATTCATCAATGAAACATGACTATCAGTTTAGAAGGTATTACACTAAAATATCAGTATAACAGAATTAAAATTCAGTAGCTCAGTAAAAAAATATGTGGTTTTGCCCCACCCTCCAATATTTATATATATATATATATATATATGTAAAAGTATTTCTTTGTAAGGAATATGTACAGTTATAAAGCTGCAGTAGCTGACAAAGGAAATTGCCTTAGACCATAATATATATGTAAAGAATTTCTTTTGTATATCTAAACTAAATGTACCCTTTCATTTGAACGCATTACTTGTATTATATGTATGGTATTGTATGTTAGAATAAAGCATTACACCATTAATAAAAAAAAAGGACATTGTTTTGTTAGGTAATCAGGCATTAGGCAGTGTGAGATAAGGATGGCAATTGCATTAGAAAAGAAACAATACAATAGAAAGCAACATAATCTGTTGCCAAGTGACTGCTGCAATTAAAATTGTCAGATAAGTCATAAGGTGAAATGTCTGAAATTTAAGTGTGTCAACCATGTTTTAGTGGGTGCTCAAATAGGAAAAACATTACCTAGTCTCCATCAGTTTATGGAAAGATGAAGATTGTAGTGCTCTTAGCCAAAAATGTATTCAGATATTATTTTGATGATGACAAGTGTAAATTGTATCTATGCTGGCAATGTTCTTCAACAATATTGCTAATCTCATATATACTGAAATGCAAACTAGACCTGTATAGTCACTTAAGCTAAAAATTTATTTTCTGCCTTATGTGTTCATAGGAGGCAAAATCTGTTTTCCAAAAAAACTAAGTGAAAAAAAAAATGAAAAATGGAAACTATTTTTCAGGAAGAGGAAAAAGTGAATAAAATTTTAATTAAATCATTCATATCTTAGTAATATTTGCACATTTTGGAATTAAGGGTATTCAAAAGTCCTAGCAAGTGTCCTGTGAATTAACATACACAGTATTAAAGACAAAAACAGTATTTAAAATAGCACACCATTCATGCAAACAATATTTACGTATAATTCTTTATAAATTCTAGGATTTTCTTGCAATTTGTATTTGAATAATCAGTATAAGCAACTATCTTTTCAGTTCCAATGACAGGGTACCTACAGCTCTCTGTAGGGACACTGTGTTCCACTGTCTCACCACCCTGATCATATAACATTTCTTTCTTATGTACAATCTGAACTCTACCTTCTTCTACTTTAAAAACATTGTCCCTTGTCCTGTCACTGTAGGCCTTGGTAGAGGCTCTTTCTCAATGTTTATATAAATAAGCCTCCTTTAAGTACTGAAAAGCAGCAATAAGATCTCCCTGGAGCCTTCTCTTCTCCAGGTTCAACAGCCCCTGCTCTTTCAGCGTGCTTTCATGAAAGAGATGCTCCAACCCTCTGATCATTTTAGTGGTCCTCCTCCTGTACATGTTCTCTTCTGTTATTTTGCTGCTGCTCATACCAAATTCAATCACTCCTTTTTGGGTAAAGATTAACTTAAAGCCATATTTCATAGACTTCAGAGTTCAGTGTCAGATTTAACTGTTCATTCTGTATTTCTCTCAGGGTAACTCAGAGACTAGCACTGAAGATACAAGATATTTTAATAAATTCACAGAAAGTCTTGACAAATATCTGGAGGGGAAATCTGCTGATTTTTTAAATTTCTTATTTATTTATGACATTTTCATGTTTTGGAAACAAAATAGTTTCTAAGAAGTCCTGTCTAATATTTTGTTGCAATGGTATTGTCAGTAAATCTTCAGGCAATGCCAATCTTATGCTTAATGCTGTGCTCATGGTATTTTAAGTTTTCTTTCATAGCTACTCATGAATTTATTGTGAATTGTCTTTATAAGTGCATAATTACTAATAAACTGAAATCAAGGAAGCCAAGTTCTTTAATTCAGGATTTTAATAGTTATTCATAGATTCAAATGTTCCAGTTATTGAAGCAGTGTAGCAATATTTAAATTCTTTCTTCCCTCACATTTCAAGTAAGTGAATAGATTTTGTCCAGCCTGCCCTGACAAATTGCAGTTAAAATTTCACAAGTTTTATAAACCCCAGCCACACCAAACTCCCCCCCAGTCTTCATGAACAAGTGTACAGGGGATAATGACTCTGATCATATTTATGATTTTCATAAAAAGCCTTAGAATTGTAGGCTTGTTTCCTTCTTTGCTGTCATTTAATCCTTAAATATTATTTAACTATGTAAATTGAAATTAGTGGTTAAAAACTGTCATCTGTGCTAAATGTATTTCAAGTCAAACATCATAATTGGATAAAAACATTGTTTCTGTGTCTTCACAGACCTATGATAAATATGAGTACACAAAATATTAAACTGAGTTATTCAGAAAAAATCTGTACTGTGATGTGATTATAACAGCACTAGCATAAATCATAGCTGTTTCTGCCACATATTCTCTGCTTTCTCTTATTCATTTTCTGACTGATAACTCATAGAGTCAATAGTAGTTTGTCATTTGGAGTACTTTGATATGATGCTTTATAACATGCCATTGTAATTTCCTGAAAGGAGAATGAACAGCTTTTAAGACTACCTGGTTAAATCTGATTATGTCAACATTTCAGAAAATTAGTTCTCAATTGAGGTAAAAATTCTACCAAATAGAATTTTGGCCACAAAGTAATTTTTCTCCTTGCACCTTAAAAGTAATGATGAGTATATTTATGCCCTTGTTCTTCTGTAGTACTTTTCAGTAATAAAACTCCAGTGCAAAATGTCATATTTTATTAGCAATGTATGGTTTGAAAGCAAACTGTGACACATAGCCCAAGCCAACACTGGCATGTATTTGATTATGATTTTTTTCGTGATATATTCCTTCATTTGTGGTAGTTATAAACCTGGCGTCAAAAAGGCACCTACCTCCTGTGTTTGCCTACACAGAAATGTAATTCTAATCAATAGGGAGTTTCCTTAAAGCATCTGTTTCACTGGGGACTTCTTCCAAAAAATGTCCAAATAACCAATTTTATTTGCTTTATTTGAAATACAGGATATCAAATAGGATCCACCCACTGAACTTCCCTCTTTCTTTATTGCTAGTATTCTGTGAAAAGTGAATTTAGCTAATCTTTGCGAATACCTTTTAGATATTTTGTTTTCTTTTATGCCTTAATCACATCTTCCAGATTTTGCTAATTACTCCTTACAAGGTACCTTAGTATGCAGCATCTACTCCAGAAAAAAATTTTCACTAGAGATGTTTCATATACTGATGTTTTGTTTATTTGGTTTTAAAATACAAAAATTCTAAAAAGATGGAAAATGTTCTGTGGCAATTCTTAGAAGTTATATACCAAATTTTATCCTAGTTCGTTTCTGCGGTATTGTGTATCAGTGTTTACTGGAGAAAGCATTTTTCTCAAGTCCTGCCCAACTACATCCCAGAACTCATGTCCTAAATTTGTCTAACATTAGCTAATATATAGAAATCACTGTTTTAATGAACAAATGTAACTCTCTTGTTGTCAATTTCTGTTAGGTATGGACATACATAGATACTATTATGAACATTTATAAATATGATTTGCAGCCACAGTAGCTACCTTAAGAATTAAGTATGGAGACTGATGATTAAACAGAATAACAAGACATGTACAGAAGTTAATCTAATTACTATTCTGAAAGTGATCCAATGTATAAAATGACTTACTCAAGTGCCATTCAGTAAATGATTCTTCATGTGCTTCCATAAAAAATGTATGGGGGAATATACATGGAAATATGTATATTATATATATTTCTAGTTTACTGACATATTCATTTAAATTGTTTTCTATAATGTGCATATTTGCATCATCAATTCTACTGATAATATATGTATGTGTTTGTGTGAATATACATTGCCATATACCTATCTGAGCAAAGTGCTGTGTCTGTAGTCCATCATATTTACTGCTCATTAAAACAGCAGTCAAAAATATGTATTT